GAAAGGGACACAGGCTTGAAACAGTCTTGGTTGTAGTTGATGTTAAAATTTCTTAACGGCTGGGAGAGCCTCAAAATCGGGCTGCCACAGGAGTTCAGCCGTTAGCAGGCAGTAGAAAACCCTCGGAGCAGAGGGCTATGCAGGGTGCTGCGGCTGCCGGAAAACCTCAGCCAGTGTGCTCATCCTGCTTGGCACTGGAGAATCAACCAGTTGACATAAACCACGTAGAAATCCAGGGTTATTAGTTTTGCTGGTGGCCAGACTGTCTTTGAGAAACCAGGTTTTCTGTTTTGCTACTATGCTAACCCTATCTGAATGCAATGTTTGTCTTTTAGTGCTTTGCCTTGCTTGCTTTTGAATTTTAAATGCCTGGGAGAATGAAAAGAAGCCCCATATTATCGGGGCTTCCTCGCCCCTCTGTCTCTCTTACAGTACAGTGTCCTCGCTGTCTCCCGTGACGGGGATGCCCTGAGCTCTGCCCCCTCAGCAGGAGGAGGGTCAGTCCGGTTAATGTCTTCCAAAGGGACACTGTAACAAAGTGTTCTGCGTGCAAATGCAATGCAGTGTTCTGAAGGGTTATTTTTAATTGCCGGGTCGCACCCTGCTAACTCGTCCTGTCTTTTTTTATTCCTTATGCTCCGAGCAGGGAGAATTTATCAGCGTTTTCAGTTCTAAGGCCGTTTTTGCTCTTCTATTAGCACGGGCTGAGTCAGAGACAAGAGTCCAGCTTAGACTCGTGAGCCAACTCCTTGTGTATCACCTCTGTGAAACGGGCATCAGTTGCTGTGCGTAGCGGCTGTAGCGGCCCTGGCTGGCATGGAGTTAGCAATGCCGTGAGATCCAATGTCACGCTTAGCAAGCAAACTGGAGCGAGGGACGGTTTTTAAAGGAACTTTTACTCAGAGACTGGCCGGGCATCCATCTGCAGGTGGCAAGTGACTGCTTTTGCGTCCCTCGTGGCTTTGGTATTTTTTTCCCCCTTCACTTCTTAAACGGTCCTTATCTCGACCCGCAAGTGTTTTTTCTCGCTTTTGCCCTTCGATGGTCGATTTATGCTGCTGGGAGGGGAGTGAGTGGGCAGCTGGGGGGGGCCTGCGTGCCAGCCGGGGTCAACCCACTGCACCGTGACAGCCAGGTACCACTGAAATCGATGCAAAATAGTCTGGAGAAAATCTGAGCACAATCGCTAGTAAGGGGTTGAATGATAAAAAATGTGTAAAAGTGAATGATTTGTTTCTGCATTTATTTGAAACACATTTGAAACAGGACTATTGCAGAGTGAAGGTAGTCTTGAAGACGAAATCTTTCCTTGCTCATACGGCAAGAGAAACCATTTTTTCCCCCTTGGTTTTTCTGTTCTTGAGCCCTAAGTGTTGCTGGTGTCTTCTCTCAGGCTGGCCATAGAGTAGACTGTGAAAAAAATCAGGCTCACTGGTTTTGGATGTGTTACAGCTCAGATGATAAAATATCCTTCTGAGCCTTTGCACTACGAAAGTAACCACTTGTGCTTCATCCGATGGTTCTTCATATACCGCTTGTTTCCTATCTCTGTAGGCAGACAGAATAACAGCTCGGGAGAGATTGATCTCGACACAGATCATCATCAACACGAACGAGGCTAGGAAAAGACTGCCCAGCAACCTGTTAGATGAAAATGTGGTATCTCTGAAGGCTGAGACGCAGTAAGAGACTACGGTCTGAGCCGAGTGAATCATGTTATTGTAACGCCGTTCATGCTGCCCAAACACAAGGTAGCCAAAAGCCATAAACACAAAGAAGTACACCACCACCACGAGGGTCATTGAGGAGATTCTGGGAAGGGCTGCCAAGGTGGATCTTTGTGCCCGGCGCACGTTAGAAAGGAACTGAGAATATTTTAGAGTTTTCAAAACTGCGAGAGCATCCAGCCTTGTCGTTGAGTTAGGCCTTCCTTCTTCAGGGAAGGAGTAGAACGTGTAGCCTGCTGGTCCATATGTGTGCAAATCTCCGTACAAGTAGTACATCCACGGAGCCCTGTTTGGCTGGTAAGTGAACCCGCCGTAACTGCTGGCATCCTTGGAAGCGGACTGGTTTGCAACCTTTGTCCAAGTGCCAGCGTAGTCACCTTTCTCTGGGATGTCGCTGCCATATTTGTGAAGACAATGGCTTTTACTGATCACAAAGTTATTTATGAAGCTATGAGGATGGAAACATTTCTTCTGGGTCCGTTTAGCCCGGACTTGCCTCATCCTGGGCAAACCAATGATTTTGGACCAGCTCTCTGGACGAAAGGTTGGCTGAATGTCATTGTGGATCAAAGGCAAGGAGGAGTCTTTCACCCACACGTAGATATGTTCTAGCTTAGCTGCGCTGGAGATCTGTGGAGAGATTTGGTTCCGGATGAATCGGTTGTAGTGGAAACTGTTGGCGTTCGCAGTGGAATAGACTAAATGGAATAGCACTGATAAAAAGACAAGGTGACTGATGAAAGCTTTCATGAGAGTAAATGCCTTGACTTTAATTTTTGCCTTTTTGAGCATGTTTGCAATTTCATCAGCTTCTAAAGGCTTATAGTGCTTGGTGGCTCTGACTTTAGCAAGTTTCAAGTGCACCTCTCTCATCTCATCAGCACTCATTGTTTCTTTAGCCAACTTAATCTCAGCATGCTTTTCGTGAGTTAACCATGTGATGTTTTCGCAGTATTTTGCACGAATTGTTCTCACAGCTGAGAAAAAAATGATTTTTAGAGTTGAAATTAAAAACACGTTCTTAATAAAGAAGGCTGAAGATGCTAAAAGCCACTGTAGTGAAGTTTGATAGCTGTAAGACAAACCGTATGACACAATGAAAAATGATGATAGCCCACTGACAGCTATTATTATAGCCCACAAGAGACGGGCGGACCACCACTGAAAATCACTGCGTGGTCTCTTGCCAAAGGGCATGGAGGTAATGCTCAGTGGTTTCCTTTCTTTCTGGAAGTTGGCCCCTTCTTCTGCATCTTGATTACTAAAATTGGAATTTGGCGGTGACCTTCTCTGGTGGGCCTTAGCCATTGGAGGGGAATTTGCAGTTGTTGTCTGCTCCTCTGTTCCAATTCCTTTTGCATCTTTTTCAGAATCTGTGCGGTTACTCCAGTTTTGGGGAGCTCCCTTGCTTCTTGCCTTTCTGGAACGTGGCGGGCTCTGTGAGTTGCTGGGACCAGGAAGGTTCTCCAAGGGACTGATATTCCTCGATTGTGCTGGAGTTTCTGAAAGGTACAATTTTTGCAAACATTCCTTCCAGTTCTTAAGCTTTCCAGACAGGAGGGGTGAACTTGTCCTTGGGTCCGTCTGAGCCGTACCACAAGGAGAACGTTCCTTGTGGGAATACTTCAATAAGGCGATTATAATCATTTCCACAGGTGCGGTAAGCAAAGCACGTTGAATTCCTGTTGTTACTGATCTCAGGAACCTCAAGGATACCAGAGATTCTTGATTCTTGTCAGCATTAAAGAACATAATGTTAAGAGCCAAGTTTAATAGTAACATTGCTAAACGCACAGACAACCTTTGGAACCTGCTGAAAGTGTCAGTGGGAACGTGAGCAAAAATGGAGAGCCACGGGTGGTCCCCTCTCAGGCTGTTGGCAAGATTAATCAAAAAATAGTCCATTCTGCTGAGAGGTGTCTTGGGGTTTGTGACGGAAAATGTCCTTTGTAGTGAGTGATCACCCTTGTCAAGAGAAAGCCATTGCCTGCACATAAAGAACCAGGTCTTGCTGGTGGCCATATCCTCCACTTTGGCTCTGCTTAAGAACCAGCTTGGAGATGGGCCCTTGTTATTGTGCCAGATCCTGAAGGAACGAATGTCTCCCAAGTCTTTCTTGGTAGTTAACAGAAAGCAATCAATGCTTCCTTGTTGGAAAGATGGCAAATGTGGGTGCCGTAAACAATGGACGTCACTGGTGCCATTCTGGCCGATGAGCTGAAGAAAGACATCCGCTTTGGTTCCAGCTCCCCAGCGACTGCCTGTGTATAAAGTGACCAAAAAGCTGGCTTCGTCAAAGGGGTCGTTGTCCAACAGAGCTATGATCTTGTCTTTGCTGTTCCTGTCAGCCCTGTCTTTTCTCGTGGCCCAGAGGGACAGAAGAAAGTAGAGAGCAAAAATAACGAGCACTGTTAAGAGGGTCACTGGGTTTTTAGGTGTGTCTGCTGTCAGGGTTTCGCCCAGATCTAATGTGTTGGGGGCAACTAGGACTTTGGCTGCCAGGAACTTGATGTCGAACGTGGATGCGTTTGACGCAGCCTGGACTGACAGAAGTCCGCGACTCCGCTTCATATTGCAGACACAATGGACCCTCTGCCAGTCGGTCAAGGCACCAAGCCTGCACGTGTCTTCTCTCCACAGGCTTCGGACTCCATCCAGAAATAAGCACTGATCACTAAAAATGTGTATGCGCAGAAGGCTCTGGGTTCGATACCTTACGACAGGGCCACCTATGGAAATAGGGCTGTTGCTTTCTTTGGTCGTGTAAAACGTTCCGTGGTTGTACCTGGAAGTGTAAGTGCTACTGTTGGTCTTGCCTGGGTGAAGGCTGACCTGGGTGGGAGTTTCTCTCCCTGCAGCTAGGCTCAGGGTCCCGTTGAGTAGATGTAGTTGTCCTGTCAGGTCCTCGAACCTCTTGCTGCCATCAAGATGGACGTGAATGCTGGCCACCACCATCTCCCCCAGGCTCTGAGGTGTGGCAATGGCACAGAAATTGCTCTGAAGAGTAAAGGAACTGTAGGAATGGAGCCAGCCTCCTGTAGCCTGTGTGTCCACCAGTGTGTAGGCCAGCATCCTCGGGCTAAGGGGCTGAAACCTCCAGGAGAGGCTGAGGGCCTGTTGAGGAACACTGAGGAGCTTGGAGCTGGCGCTAAGGATGTTCAGCAAGTCAGGTCCTACCTGGAGAGAGAGGCTGAGGTTTATCTGAGGCATCTGCTCGATGCTGACCGAAGCAAGATGGAGGCCGTGGTCCCTGTAGCGCACGGTCAAGCAGTAGCTGTAGTAGGTGGCACAGGTCTGTTGCAATTCGGCTGTTGGATAGCTAGCAGGTGGTGGTGTGTCTTGGTGCTCAGTGCTGGGAATGAGAAGGGTAGAGGGGCTGCCTCCCTGGCTGCTGAAGCGGTACTGCCAGCTGGCACTCTTGAGACGCGCACACCAGCCCAGCTCTACCGGTTGCCACGTGCGGATCAAGCGCGTTTGCGGCCAAAGCACGAAGAGCCGCGTGTCCTGCGCGGTCATCTCGATGGTGACGTTGTGGTGGAAGCATTCGGGTGCAGCGCATGAAGCGGATGAGCATTGCACCGTAAGGAGGCTGGAGGCCACGGGTGGAGGAGCGCTGCCTGGCAAGAGGCCCGTCTGCAGCATGACCTGGCCTGACCAGCGCGAGGTGTTCTTCACCCAGGCGGAGTTGAGGTGCCATAAGGAGTTAGGTGGAGGTGATGCCCAGCCCTCTTTCCTGGCTGCCTCTGGTCTGGCTCCTGGGGCGGGCTGGTACCGCAGGTTCATGGTGCTGTTCCAGAGGCAGGAGAGCCGGTAGTCGTTGTCGTGCCGTTGAGAGACTTGTCTGTGAGGGCCCCGGCAGGTGAGCAGGAGGG